GAGATGATTTTTTACTTTTGATCTTTTAATTAAAGTTGTTCGGAATTAAATTCTGGTCATACCATATTATAAGTGGAAAGAGCAATACCTTCAATGGAACTCGGTATTTCAAAATTTGTAACGTTATGACCGGTCATTAATCGACGGTCAATGACCGGTCATGACGTTGCAAATTTTGAAATTCCGTGTTCCAGTGAAGGTATCGCTCTTTCCACTTATAAGATGGTATGACCAAAATTTAATTCTGAACAACTTTAAATAAAAGCTCAAAAGTAAAAAATCATCTCAGTATTTAGCAAATTGGCTATGAAAATTTTGACCATTCGTGACCGATTCCATCCCTAGCCATATTACCCTTCCCTTATACGTATTATAGTTGTTAAACAACGGATACGTATCATGATACAAATAAATCACGTGCGCGAGATGCATTACACATTAAGATTTTAGTATATATATATAACTTATATTGTCATCTTATTAAATAAAATATACTAAATCATAAAATTGTAAAAAGTAGATTCCTTTTTAAATGAGTGACGTCGAAGGAAAATGGAACATTAGTTAGTTTATAATTGATTATTTATTTAAATAAATGATAAACGCGTCACTCAAAATCAGAATGGGTTGATAGTAAATAAATTTAACCAGTTAGAATGAATTTTTTCTGCGTGGCAAGTAGCGAATGGAATTTTTATGATATGTCCAATAACCAATCAGATTTTTTGATTCGAGTTATCTCATTGTGCACCATAACTGAAAAAATATTTTCATAAGAAATTTTTGATTGTGATCTATTCTTTGATTTTTTAAGAAAAATGGGTCTGCATCAAATAAAAGAAATATATACCAATTATTTTACATACATGAGTTAGAAGCAAAAAAATTTTCCCATCGACTATTATTTTGGATCAGTTCTTATAGGAGTAAAATCTAGTGGCTGTGGTGACCGTTGAATTATTATTCGTTTATTGTGAAATGAATCCTTTTTTTCTTATTTTTTTATTTTACCAAAAAAGAAATTGGTTAGAATTTAATATGAAGAAAACTAACAACTAAAGAACTAATAAAAATTTTATTCTGAGATACGTATTGTCTGTTTATCGATTTTATCCTTATCATTGTCTCTTTTTACAGGATGACCGGACATTATTGTGATGAACACAGAAAGTAACGTCACTAATAAAGTAATAACCTGATCATTAACTTTCATTGTTTCTTTTTTCAATTAGTTATTGTCATAAGATGAATCTCAATAATGCTGTAATGTACTATATACTGAATATACTAAATTGAAAATAGGAAGATAGCTGGGAGCTAAATTATTTTAATTTTACCGAATATGGTCGTGAAGGTTACGCGTTATCGTTATTAATTAGAGAAAAATTATCCTAGATAACTATTATAACTGTGCATATATTTATGACAAAGTTTCGTGGCTTTGAAATTTGGCTTTGACACTCATCCATTGTGGGCTTAGAATATACAATTTAAGCATTCGAAGAATGTGACATTCGCTATGATCAGTAAAAGCCGCAGATGCGCATACGTCATTACAATTCATTTAGAATAAAAGATACAGGATATAAGCCTGTAATTTTGCCTCGAATTTCAATATGGACTAGCTAACACGTGACATTACGGTCGTGTCTGCATTTAATATAATATAATTCTGCATTCATCACGTTATGTAATAATCGACAACGCAGATCAAATATCCTTTTCATAAGATGCCACTCACGTAAAATGCCGTAAGTACATATCTGATATATATCAGATATCTGATATGTACATACGTACATACGTACGTGCGTTGATCTGCACAGCACCGAACAGATGCGATAAAAAAATTATTAAATGGTTAGAATAAGTATATGAGTAATAACTAAGTAAATAGCAATTTATTAAAATCAATTTTTACGTGGTGGCTAATATTAGTTGGCTAAAAAGCTTTTATAACAGAGCATGTGTTGTATGTATAAATCAGGTGATCTGATGAATTGAACTAATTAATGTTACTTTGTGGACTCAGAGCATCATTAGATAATTTTTCCTTAAATGCGACGTAGACTTTTCCGTCTAAACAATTAAAGAATAATATTAATATGGCTAATATGGCGTTGAATGGCGGTGATGTGAACAATTGGTACGTACGTAATGGGGGTTTTAGTTACTATACGTAGAAAGAAAACAAATCGGGATTATCTTTTTAAATCCATTATCGATATCAATATTGATGCATTGGGTAAATTTGCTATGTCGAATTATAAGCCGGAAATACGGTGAGATCCAAGGTTTTTAAGAGAAAAATTACAGCCCTATTACATAGGGCTTGTTATGTGGATGCTCAAAATATTATGTCATCAAATACAATACGTATATGAAACTCAAAATTTATGTAAGTTTTTTTCCTAAAACACTTAAATAAGCCTCACTGGTAATGATAATCATTTAAATTGGTCGGACAACAAAAATCAGGTTATTCTTATGTTAGACTACTTCAATACAGTACGTAGCAGATATGATAGCAGATAGCATGCATTGAATAATGGCATCTAAAAATAGGAAACACTGCACAAAAACCGCTTAGCGTTAAAAATAACCCCTGTAAATTGTCCAAGCATCTCTGTATGTAATATTACTGTAAGTGGGAACTTTTACTATTTCAATTAACTTGTTTGGAATTGAATAAACCCCCATTATTGTAATAAAACGCGTAAGTTGTCCCTTATATTTGTCACGTGGAAGTTCACATAAAGCAGTTGTGATCATGATTGCTAAAGCTAGCCAATTTATCATAAATTCGAGTTTGTGTCAAACTCAGAATTATGATAAATTGGCTAGCTTTAGTAATCGCGATCACAATCACAATTATTTAATCATAAAGAAAGTTAATAATAGGAGTCCCAAAACTACACAGTGCAAGCGCTATCGCTAGTTAAACCTAATCGGTTTGATTATATTAATCTAGCTCGTGATCGATTACCCTGAACTAGTTGAAGTTTAAAAACATAGCCATGACTCGAGTTACGATGACTAGAGTTCAATCTCTGAATAAAAAAAAATTACGAAAATGTACGATATAAATCACAAGTCCATGACTAACAAATATTTGACATTCTTTTATCATGGTGAAAAAATCCGAGACTTTGATAGTATTGTACGAATATAATCAAATATCTTTTCGCAAAGTTATACGACCCATGATTTTAGGATGTGACTGAATGCTTGTATAATCGATCATGTTTGATTGATAGGAAAGAGAAGTTTATTTAGATTTTCGATATAAACTAAAAGGGCAATGAGTACAATATACTGTATATTATCAACTGTGGAAAGAATGCTTATTATTAGCCGTTAAAAAAATAGAACAGATGTGTTAAAATAAGAGATACAAAATTTTGTCAAGAAAATTATATCGATTTGGATTTGTATGAGTCACAGTATAAAAATTTGGCGAATTTGATTTTTATTGTCAAAAATGCACTTACCGTATAAGCGCAAAATAACGCACAGGGATGTAATTTCGAATTTTGGCTAAATCAAGCTTAATTCGGGCCATTATTCAAAATAACGCCCCTGGGCGTTGTTTCGCGCTTATACGGGTTTCTTAATCAAATAACATCATGCTGTATATAAACTTTCGAAGTATCCGATATCATTTCAAGGATATATTTGAGATGACAAATTTTAACGTAGATTAGAAAGTCTGATTGACCGTGAGTAAGTCAAGTCATCACACGAGCACTTTGATGTGTCACGTGAAACGTTGTTAATTATTCTCATGTGATGATTTAGCATCACATCCTGTGCTCTATGTAGTGATTTCATATGGTAATCTTTCACCATTCTATATAGATGTGTTTCTTTCGTTTTTCATAAGTTCCTCCGTAGTTTATTTTTTTTTGTCAAAAATAATGCGCAGCAAAAAAAATAAAATTGAATAGTTCATTTTATTATCATCATTATTTAAAAACTTTTTTTTATTAAATGTTTTATAAAAAAAAAAATATACAATTTTCTTGAACTTTATAACGTTAAAAAAAAAAACGCTAAACGCTAATTAACAATATTTCAAGCTACCCTGGTCTAGAATAAATTTGCAAATTCCAGGTATATATTAAGGATTCTCGTTCAAGATTGATTTATTTAATGCTTGAAACCGACTTTTTGTGACTTTTGCATCAATTTTAAGAGAATTTGGTGTCAATCATCACGGTGGCATTTCCTTTGGTAAAATTTTAAGTGACTTTCTACTGGTGCATCAACCTCGGGTATTACTTCTCTGACTTTATCAAAAGATTCCATTCTGTTATATACGGCGCGATATACTCCGAGATATTGTAACGTTTTTCCTAAATATTGTACGACGAGTTCAAGATATTCGTCAGTGATGCATTCACATCCTGAAAGTGTCAGCCAAGTTAATGGCGCTTTACAATTTTTCAGAAAAGATTCAAAAGCCGTCGTGGTAAATGACCATTCCGATGAAATATTTAACCTTCGAAGGCTATCTGGTATTGATTGACCTATCGCTGGTAAAAAAGTTTCTGCATCTAAACTTGCTCCATAAATTGCCAAGCTTTCAAGTTGTTGAGAACTGCACAAGAGAGTGCAAATTGCTGACACCTCTTCAATACCATGAATTTGATTTGATTCAAATTTAGTAATATTCGGACAATTTTTAACAAGCGAGTTAATTACTTGTACTAAATATTTTGTACTCTGCGTTGAACATAACGTTACTTCGCGCAAGCTGGTATTAGCATTATAAGCTAATGATGTTACAATTTCAAGGGGAATGTCAGAATTTGAGATATTCAATTGTGATAATTTGGTTAATGATGATTCTACCATTGGACTACACATCTCTGTAGTTAATCCATCACAACCATCAAATTCCAAAATTTCCAAATTCTTACAAGCACCAATTCCAAAGAATGGAGGTTGACCTTCAAATCGAACATAACTTAATTTTAATCGAGTTAAAGTTTCGGATTGACTTTGTAAGGCTGCGATAATTCTTCCACCAGTATCATGTCCGTAATAATCACCATGAAGTTCTAAATCTTGTAAATTCCTTTGAGCTTGAATAAAAACAACCAAACCTTCTACTTCAACTTCGAATTTCTCTGTATTTCTACATTGCTTCTCATTATCCCATTCATATACTGGAAGATATGTTTTCAATTGACATACACCATGACAAATTGAGAATTTTTCAAAATATTTACGTAGTCTTTTTCCAGTAAGAGTTAATCTACGAATATGTTGCAAACAGGATTCAGCTCCTGGGTAAGATGTGATATCATATCTTTCGAGTAACCAAGTTGCATCACAAGAAAACCGATAAATAGCGGGACATCGACTTACAAAAAGCTTCAATAATAATTCTGTAAGTATAAAACGACCTTCAGCACCAATACATTCATCTCTTCGAAGATTACACCACCACCATAAATGGTGATAAAGACCTCCAAGGTGAAGAACACGCCGATACTTTGCATAATCAAAAGTTGGTGGTGACGTAGTTGAAAGTGGAAGATTTAAACCGTTATCGTTAAGTATTTGTTTTTCTTCATCTGATAAACATGCAATATATACTTCGACCAATTGTTTAGACATATAAGCATTTGGGCTTCTCCATAAGATCGGTACAACTTCTTGACACCAATGCCAATTAACCAAAAGACACGAGTGTAAAGAAATTTTATCCTCTTCAATACATTCAAATATTTTACGAAGGCAAAGGTTAGGTAAGGAAGAAGCCATTTTATTTCACTTTATTTTAATATATTTTAGATTATTCTTAAGTGAGTTAAGAGAGTTTTATTCAACAATTCTTGTAACTTATCTTTTTATGTCATGTGTGCAGTTGCAAATTACATAATTTCGATCATCCATCTCAAAAAAAAAAATGATATAAATATCTATTATCATCGTATGCTTTGTTTTCACTATGTTTAATGGTCACACCTTTTGGTAAAATGTAGCCACCTTTTTTTTTTTTTTCGGAAATAAATATTTCGGTTAAACTGTATTTAGCTATCCTTTATACAGTTATATAATTTAACCGAAATATCTGAATATCTGTTCCGAAAGGAAAAAATGACCTCATTTACGAAAGGTGTGATTCCTTCAACTGAAAAGTTTGACGGTTCTTCTTTACGTGTCTTGATAGTACACACCCGTTGGAATTATGAAATTGTAGAAGCTTTAGTTCGTGGTGCAACTGAAACGATGACTTCAGAATATAATGTGAAAGCTGAAAATATTTCCATTCAATCAGTCTCTGGTTCTTACGAACTTCCTTTTGCTGCACAAAGCCTTATTAAAGCTTCGAAAATGGGTACTCAATGGTTTAATGTCGTTATTTGTATTGGAGTTTTAATCAAAGGTTCAACAATGCATTTTGAATATATCGCTGAAGCTGTAAGTCAAGGAATAATGAGGGTTAGTCTTGATAGTGGAGTACCTGTTGTTTTTGGAGTTCTCACTTGTTTGAATGATGAACAAGCATTGGAAAGAGCTGGTTTAGGAGATAGAGAATCTAAACATAATCATGGAATTGACTGGGGACGATGTGCGGTTGAAATGGGTGTTAAGAATTGTAAATGGATGTCTGGAATTATTTAAATAAGGGGTGTGTAGATTCTCATTTAACGTTAATTTAAATTTTGATCCAATTTAAGAAATCTAATAAAATCAAATGCACTATGAAAATTGACATATTTGCATAATATGTATGCGTATATTTAAATAGATACAACCAAACTAAAACTATCTCGCAAGAACCTTTCTAAACCCAAAATAGTAGACATTGTTAGAAGAACTATTATAATTTCTGCGGTGTATATACAGTAGGATTGTTAATGAATTGTGTTGGGTTAATTCAATCTTCAACCCAGATTCTATTCCAGATGATATTCCAGTAACAAACAACTCCAAGCATTTAATAGGTTACCGAAATAAATTGCTTAGTTCATACGCAAACACTTAACGCTAATACGATCTCCTGCTAAATTTGTTTAATTGTTTAATACCAAGGATCTTAAATTCGATTTCTGCACTCCTTTTCGTTTTTCTATGAATTAAGAGTTTATTAAATTAATGTTTCGCACATAAAGAAATCGTAACCTGATTTTTCCAAGTTTTTTGGAGTAAATATAACAATCGATATTAATACGTATAATGATTACAAAATTATAAATTTGCCTTTTCGTTCAAATTCTCTCCTATATGGCACGAGGCCTATTATATCAATAGAATCGATTTAATTTAGTTGCTGTGTTGCTCCATATATCATTTTTCACAATTATTTTTAAAAGCCATAACGTATCGTATAAATCTAATCAAAAATAGTTCAATTGATAGTCACAGGTCATGTGAAATGCAAGTAATGAGGATTTTCACGTGTAAAATGACATAATTTTTAATAACATTCATATTCGCCCTTTTCACCTCAGTTTTGAATAATGGTAGAAAAACTTGAAAAGCCGTCTTTAACAATTTCGAAAAAGGCAATCCACAGTAAAGTCATAAAAATGGACACTGATCGAATATTTAGGCAACTATTACTTTTGATATTTTACGTTGGGACTGTTGCTTTAGGATCTTTATGTAATATAATAAATCCTCTTCCCGAATCACACTTTTCGCAAAAGGACAACTATTTTAATGTGTGGTTTGTGAAACTTGGTTGGTTTTGGACATCGTTAGTATTTGTCCTATACTCTTGGAAAGTAATTCACTATAAAAAACCCGATCAATTTAAATCGTCGCTCTATCGTTTGGGCATTGCAACCCTATATTGGTATTTCGTTACCCAATGGTTCTTTGGTCCTAGTATTACTGAGTGGGTCTATGTCGCAACTGGTGGAAAATGTACTCTTGAAGGTTTAAATACGCAATGGACCGAATCTCGTGCATGTAAAAGAAATGGTGCCTATTGGTCGGGTGGACACGATATCAGCGGTCATTGCTTATTATTGATTCACGCCTCACTTCTTCTTTGGGAAGAGCTCAGTGTTCTGCTATATTATCCGGAGGGTGTGAAAAGGGCGAAGCAATATAAGATGCATACGCTCTCTATGATTTTCATTCTCTTTCTTTGGTGGTATATGTTACTTATGACATCTGTATATAATTTTCACAATTTTCGGGAAAAATTGTCTGGAACTATTTTTGGTGTCCTTTATTGGATAACGGCATATATATGCATTTTTCCATTGTATGCAAGAAATTTGCTACCATATAATAAAGACCTTGAAGCTAATATTTCTTGATTGTCAAACAGTAATGTATTATTTCACCCAAATTTGTTTGTGAAGACCTTCTTACCCTCGAATTTCTATCTTGCTATTATATAATTAGAGTTCAAAAAAAAATACATTGCATGTAAGAGTTAAATGTAAACTTATTTAAGCTCAATTCAAGAACATTGATGTGTTATAACCATTTATTTATTATAACAAAAAACTTCATTTAATTTATATCAAATCTTTATTTATTATTTCATTATAAAATTTAACACTTTTTTAATTAGTGTTTTGAGTGTTTTGGGGTAAGACATTGTTTTTGACCCACTAAACTTAATTACTCTAAAAATATATATATAAAAAACTTCTCTGAACTACTAATATGATACCCAACTTGTGAAACCTGAGAAATTTGTTAAATTTTAATAAAAAAAAAAAGTGTTACGTATAATAATATTTATATATTTATAATTTTTCAGCATATTCATTTTTTTTTAAAAAAATAACGATAATTGCTAGAATTTTTTTTATAAGCTGTAATTTTATAGCGATATCCGGGTCCTCATATGTCGGCCAATCAGCGTCAGTCATGTATAGGTTTTACGCAAGCAAAAAAAAAATTAAAAGTCATCAGTGAACGGCTTCAGTATCTTAGAGGTGGAAATGACAGAATACTTTTCGACTGTCACTTGGGCAGTAGGGATGTTATAGTTTCAAAAATAACCGTTAAGACTTAGTTCAAATAGAAGTTCTAGTTAATTATGGTTCTGGT